ATATCCTGAGGGGTAGGGCTATGATAATAATACCTACTAGATCCTGGTTGGACATTTCTACTGATTTCTTTAGAAAAATTAACTTTATTTACAGATTGAACATCCTGGAAATTATTCTGTAATTCCTGAATTATGGAAGGAGTAAGTGCGTCACTATATTCTTCTGGCATATTATTCTGTTGGGGAATGGATATCATATGAATCGAGCTACTTCCTTCTGGAGGTGGTACTCTTCCTACATTTAAATTGGACATTTTCTTTAGAAGAGTTTCCATAAATTCATTATCCTGTTTGTCAGAATGTAACTTCAAATTAGTTACTTCTAAAGGTGGTTTTACATTAACAGTTGAATTGTAGATTTGTCGGTACTAATTGTCTATCTTTAAAATTTTCAATTGATTATTCAATTCTGGTCAATTGTTTACTTACTGTTTGAAAATACAGATTAGTATAATTATTCTGTTTCATAATTGGAACCATATCTTTAACCTGAACTACATCTCTTTGAGATGCTTTAGATGGAATTTCCATATATGCTATTGTCATTAAAGGTTGTAGAGTCGTATCACCATTTGGTGTTAACTCTAATGATTGTGGTGGCAGATGTATAGACGTAATAGTCTGTCCATTAACTGTTGTCCATGTTTTTTGAATATTGGTTAAAACATTTATTTGCCGTTCAAGAACTATTTCCATAACTGTTACAAATTCGTAGTACCATTCAGGGAAAGGTGTTAAAATTTTATATGTTTCTAAATGATAATAATAATGGTTTTTAAAGTATAAAAGTTGCTGATTATCATGGTTTTTAAAATACTAATTTCGAAATTCCTGATACTTATCTTGTATAAATTCTTGGTTTAATTTCTTTCTAATTTCACTACCTGGAGAATAATCCATTAAATTTCAAAATTCATATCGCTAGCTGTTAGACTCTCAGGTCTTCTGGTTTCATAAATACCACGAGGTATTTGATTTTCTGATAATTGGACTCCTTGTATGGATCTACAGAAGGATCACTAGATGGCCTACTAGGTGGTCTAGAAGGCATTCCTTGCATGACTAACTTAACAGGTTTTGAAATAGATTGCTTGGATGATTCTAGTAAATCTACTCTATAGAGAGGAATAGATCTAAAATTTGTACTGGACATACTTCTTGTGAGTGGTCTACGGAAATTGAGGTATACATTACCTCATTGAGTTTGGACTACTTGGTCAATAGTTTGTCTAATAATTGGTCTGGCTGGAACGACATTAGGTATATGCCATGATTCTAGAAAAGCGATATTTTGCCAAGGAATCATTCTTGGAATAGCGACTTGGCTGCAAAACAGATTAGTATCTATTAAGACTGTTTGTCCTGATTCACTTTGTTTTCTAGTGTATGGGTTCAAAATGGTAAGAACCTTAAGATGTATTCTGAAAATGACTGTTAAAGGTGGCGTTCCTACCATATACTTATAACCATGGGTAAGAACTCTAAGTTCTAAGACTTCTGAAAGATTTGGATCCATGAGTGCAATACTCAAATTTGGATAAATGTTAAAATATACTGGTCTATGAGATAGACTGGTTTCAATTGCTCCCATAAGAGAGGCTTTCCAATCGAGACATCTTCCATCTCGAAGGGTGCATTGGGTACTGGTATCTTGACCTAACAAAGTCAAGGGTTTGAAGGCTATTTGGACAAGGCCTGTATGAATGTATTTATATTTTTTGAAAAATGGTGCCAGATCCTGGATATGAAGTAGTTTAATTATTTCATCATTATCTTGTAAAGGCATAACATGCTCAAAGGTTTTGATTATCTTTTTACTAGAGAAATCAAATGTTCCAATTTTATAAATTGTATCTGGTTTGACATTAGGAATTGTCCATTTATCTAAGGCTTCCTTAACATCTTGATATGCTACAAGTTCTGTTGCTTCTGATGTAGAAGCTACTGTATTAGCTACTGTTATTATTGGTGCTTCTTCTGCCATTAATTGTATGTGACCATATATGTATGATTTAAATATTATATAATTGTGTTACATTAATTATGGGAATTTTCTACATCTAACTAATTTTAAATGTAAATCATATACCTCATTTTCGGGATAAAAATTCATAGTTACATAGTACATAGGTCATGTTTAATTGTTGAATGAAGTTGGATGGAATTATAAGTATGGTGGTATTGAGTTATGAGATTAGATTGGAGATATACAATAAATTGTATTTGTTTATGTATTAATATGATGATATTAGTTAATTGAAATTAAATTTATAAAATTTTGTAAAAATTCTTATTATATAAAATGTGATTTGCTGTTTTTGCAAGAATGGGGATAATAATGTCTTCATCATTGGATTATGATGAATTCCACCTTCCTATCCTTTGGAATTGTTAGTTTCATACATTCTTTTCTCAACCAAACAATATTGGTGGAACTCAAGCTATTGTTAGCCTAATTCCACCACCAAGGATAACAAACATGGTCTTAAGGTTTTGAAAATTACAATCCCTTACTAATTATAATCATCCTTTAATGGGGTTTTAAAAATTCCTTTAAATTTTTTCTTATCTACTATCTACTACTATTATAAAAGTGTGAAAATCTTGCCATGTTTTTTACTTTTTTTTAATCTCAATTTTATCCTTTCAAATCTATTATATTTTTTAAAAGTCGTGAAAAGTCCTATATAAACCAATTATCTCTTCTTGTTTTTTTTTTTTTTTTTGGAATTGAATACTCAAAAATGATATATCTACTTCCAAGAGTCCTATATAAATATAAACAAACCGTCTCCTTCTTGAAAAGAAAAAAAAGAAAAGAAAAAGAAAGAAGTCTCTCTATTTTTTACATTGACGATGATTGAAGAACAAAAAACAATTATTCTTTTTTACTTTCTGTGTCTCCTTTTATATTGATATACATAATATTTACAATTGTCCATCATGGATCAAATCACTGTGAATAATTTTGGTTGAATTAAAATTGTATGCATTCGTTCGAATTTAAACATAGGAAAGTACATGCGTTTTTCAAATAGAGATTTGTGTTGTCTCAAAAATTTGAAGATTATCTTTATACACTTTCTTTTTGTTTAAATTATATTTTATGAACTTTAGTATTTTACATGGTACTTTAATGTATGATATCAAAATTCTAAACAATAACCACTTTTGTTGGTTTTATTTTTTAAAATCTGTTTTTCACTTTTTGATTTTTCATGTTTTCTCAATTTTGGTAATTAAATATACTGAAATTTCTTCATATTTTATATTTAAATTATACTTTTACATGAATATCTAATATCTAATAATCTAAATATAATTAAAAAGTAAAAAATTAGTAAATTTTTTTATAAATTCAGACATGTACTTATTTATTATTATTATTATTATTTAATATTAATAATTAAAAAAAATATACAGCAAATTATTTTCTAAGTATATTTGGATTAAGTGAATCTAAATCTAAAAGTAAAATAAAAAATAAAAACAAGTATTAAATTAAGTGAATCTAAAAAGAAGATAAAATGTTTATTCAAAAAAAGTGTCAAATTCAAAAAACATGAAAATTGAAAAATTCAAAACTCAAGTTTGAAAAAACAAACCAAAACAAACACTATAAATTTCTCTTTTTTTAAAAATATTTCTTCACTAATATCTAATTTTATACAAATTATTCACAAATTCCTTTCAATTTTTATGTGAATTTGATAATGGGGAAACTATATGCAAATGGGAGAAAGGGAAAAAAAAAATAATCTACACATGCACAGCCTTTTATTTGCACTTCACCACAGACACACTTGCACCTTCCATGTATGGGTAATTTTTTTTCCCTTCTCCCACCTGCATACACACAAAAGTGTAACACTAAACATCTACAATATGACAAACTATTTAATTATGAATAATTAACTTCTCATTGTTACCTGTATTATATTGTTATAAAAAATTTTACATATTACTTTTGTGATATCTTATATATGTTAATATCTATATATATATAAATGTATAAAAATATAAATGCAAATTTATATATGTTACTGTGTTTATACATTGTTAATCTGTAATTCTATATTATCATCAACTACTTTAATTTTCTAATATGTATCGCTTTACTAATATAGTTATATTTGCTAGGAAAAAATTACGAAATTGTGTATTGTTCTCCTATCAACTTATATTCAATACATATATACACACATGTCATACAAACAAGTGTCCACAATAAACACTTTCAATTACAAACTAAAATTTTACAAAACATCTACATCACGACAATAATTAGACTTTTTGTATTAATTTTTTTCATGACAATTGTATAACAATTATATACTAATAACTAATGTTATATTTTTCATCATGCAAGATATTCGTGGTACAGGAAACGAGACTCAACAACTCTTGATGTATAAAAATATATTACATATTGATATTAATGCATTTTTATAAAAAATAATATACAAATAATATGCAATAGTGAGTTCAGTGAATTTGTATTATGAGATAAACTATTAAACAAATTTGTGCAATTAATTTCATACATTCAATTGTATTATAGGTACGGATTATGAAAAATTGAAGTGGAAAGTTGATAGAAAAAGATTTGTATAATACTATATATTTAAAGGACATGTTTATTGTTTATCGTTTACGATAAGATTGTGAGTTCAAAAATCTAACTATAAATTAATTTTTATATTTATAAAATTTCTCATTTCTCATTTAAATTTTTCAACCAAGTATGTATTTATTTATTGCTTAGTTCTATTTTGAATACAAATCAATTTACCCAACAAGTCTCCATACTTTGTATAGACATATCACATATTAATTTAAGAGACACGCATAATTACAATACTAACAGTCGATGAAAAATCACATGCCACGTGCAATGCACGTGCCCAACTACTAGTTAATTTATAAAAAAAACAAGTTTGAGTTTCCAAAAACAAAAATATAAAAGCGAAAACTAAAAACAAAATGTTAGATAAGCCTAAATGAAATTATGCATCTTATTAATGATCTTTTCATTTTGATAACTTCTTACAACTAACAAAGTCATCCTATGTGATAAAAGTCGGAATAACAATTATATTACAAATTCAAAATTATCAATGTACGGTTAAAATTTAATCTATGAGTGGATTCTACAATATACAATCAAATCTAAGTTGCTCATTTATTTTTTCCCTGAACTAAAAATCAATCTAGCCCATGTCAGCCCGCTCCTTGATTACACAGCCTTGAATTGGTTGTGACATGACTTTTTCCACCAAATTACCCTTGAAAAAATGAAAGTTAAGATACTCATCATACCAAACACCTAGGTTGTGATAAATTTCACACTGTCTTTTTTCCTCAAATACAAAACACTGGTATCCTTGGCTTCTGATCAAATACTAACACTTATTTTTGAACTCTTCACTGTTCAAACCCTCACAATCAAAATTTGTGTTGTTTTTAGTTATCTTCTTCAATCTATAAAACATTGGGATAACTCCACAAATCCTGTCAGCAAGAACAACCTTATAAATCTCAACTCGGTTCTCCATTACGCAAAACCAACAAGACTTGCTCGAAAATTCATTTGTTGTTGTTTTCACAGTTTCTTGAAACTGCAAATTCAACAAATCAAAAACAAAAACGTGTGAATTTTGATTGAAGAAGTATGCCAAGTGTCCAACAATCACTACACGCAGTATTATTTCAACTCTTCTTGGTAATTTCCATTTAGTACTAACATAGCCACTCCACTTTTCATCAACCCCTACGCAGATGGTCCATAAATCTACCCAATCAAATGATCCACAATTGAATAAGGCGGCACTGGAAAGGATAACAAATTGAGGATTGCCGCTGTCTGCTATAGTAAACGCGCCATAAGGTTCTAATATATATTGAATTAAGGGTAATTTAATCATCGCCTTCATGAAAGGATTAAGCAACAAGAAAGAAGAATTGGTATCAGGGTCCACAATTTGTTTGAGCAAATACCTTTTCTTTATGTGCTTCATTTTAACTAGCAGCAACCACATTTTTTTCGAATACAAGACAATGGTGTTGCGAAAATCAGGGAGATCAATGTTGTACTTCTCTCCAGTTGAGATATTTATGAAGTCCCGCTTGCTCTGAGATATGTCTTCAGTCATCATGATCCATAGTGGTGATTCACTCCTAGAGTGGTGGTGATTGATGGTGTAGGACAAGGATATGTGGTGCCAATTCTTGCAAACGGAAGTGAATCGGAGATTGGTAGGAAAATCTAGTCTGTCTTTGATCATCCAAATAATAAGAGTTGGCAGATCACACCATGTATTCTCATTCTTAGTTGATGATGCCAAGATCTAGCTCGCTCGCTGCAATAAAAATAGTATTGTCATAGACTCAGTTCTTTTTTTTTTTTTTTTGAACATTAAAAACAAACTTAAGTCTATTTTTCATTGCACTTCATTCATGATTTGTTGAGTTTTTGTAATATCACTTTGCATTCAAAGGCAAAAGAGGAGGTTATGAACTTTGTTTATTGTTAATGCATTGCAATTCACTCACAAGCTTGAACATCTAATTCTAGTGTCAATTATTCTTTTTTGATGTTCTTATAGTTGTAATGGAAAATTCTTACTATAAAAATCTTTCACTCTTATAATATGGTCATTCATAGGGGAAAAAAAGAAAAAGAAAAAAAAGAAATTAAATTATACGCACCTGTCCTCAGATTTGACAAAAATATAGTTAACCCTACAAATTTCACATAATTACACTAATCTTTCTTTTAGTAAAGTTAAAGTCATCAATTAATGCAGATAGTGGGTGTTAATGTGGTGACTGCCTCAGCATGATTCCTGCATAAAGGGCCATAGAATATGAGTACAATAGTTTCAATGGTGGTCATGAATATGTAACATGTATTTACACACTATACTCCCTTGTTTTTAATGTAACAAGAGCAACATCAAAACAACACTAGATCTTACTCACATACCTGTCCCTGTGATCCGTATATTACTTACAATAAATGATGATTACCCCCCAAACGAAACGTCAAACATTACAGTCCTCAATTTACTACAATTCCAAACAAAATACAAAAGTAAACTCCAACCAATCTAAACCAACAATAGCAAATCCATAACAAATTCCAATTAAATGGAATTACAATGCCACTTACACACTAAACAGAAGATTAACAAATATAAGAATCCAATTTCAACGTTACCAAGTACGACACTCTAACCATCACATAATTAGTCATTCAATATGATCCACTGCAGAAGCCATAAGTAATTGATGACCTCATACCATACAATTACAAACCACACATACATGGTTTGCGTAATTAATGGGGAAACAAATAGATGATTCATTCACGTTTTTCACAAACGGGGAACAAATACATTGTTTGTGCGCAATTGTTCACTTACGTTAGAGAGTTCATTTACTGTTGTAACAGATTAATTGTACACGTTGCATTTCCAGGAGTGGTACAGTTCATTCATGTTTTATCTGTTTGTTAATGAATTGTAGATGTTCCATTTTGGTCAGTTATTAGAATGAACTTGTTTTGACTTTTCAACTTTGAATCCATCTTTCAAAAATGGAACGTTTATATCTTGTGTGTTCTGTGGTATAGTGAATTATGGTGGTTGGTGGTTGGGGTAAGGTACATTTGTCAAATATGGGAACCAACATCTCCACAGAGTGCAGACAAACGTTTAGCCCATGGAACAACAATGGTAGTTTGCTATATTTGACATGAGACACCAACATAAACTTAATTCAACGTATACCAACAAGATCAATAGCACACTCAAATTCAATTGTATGCAATTATAGTGCCACATTTAGATTAAACGTAACAATAACAAATATGCGACATCAAATTCAACATCACCAACTGCAACACTCTAAGCATCATACCAATAGTCATTCAATATGATACATTGTGGAAAGCATAGCTAATTCGACATTAAGAATGTAAATAGTGTTAGTCATCTGGTTCGTTCGATATGCTCGAAACGGGACAATCAATGTAAACTACCCAATTTGTAACCCAACAGGAATGATGCCACAACCTAGTTGAATTTAGTAAGAACCCACTTTAGGGATTACTTCAGTTACAGGGTTTAAGTAACACAACACGCATTCACATACCAAGCCAAGGCTCTTAATGTTATTCCATTTTTTGGAGGACGTATTCGACGTTCACACGTCAAACCACGTGCAATCTAATACTAGATCAGCACAACACATCTATAATCCATTCCTGAATAGAGTAAACAATAAAAAAACACTGCGCCAACCGTTAAATGACATGTTCACATTCACACACATTTAACATACAATTAACATCCCTAATTTGGCTTACCATACTTATGCACATTGTAGACACCCCATTTTTGACCGCCCTTAAAACTTAGGCGCTTGGTTTGATGCACTCGATGATGAAAGTCAAACTGTGTGCTTTGAATTCACAGCGATTCGGATTCAGTCAGGCTCTCAAAATAACCTCAAATCTTCAACATTTATCTTGTTTGAATTTTTTAGTCTCATTTTTGGACCTTTTGCCATCTTGAGCTGAGTTTGAACCAAAAAACAGGGAAGGACATCAAGGCCCGGCTGTACATCAGTGATGGCCGGTCGTGGCTATGAATGGCTAGCCAGGCCTTGGTGGCGAGAAATAATGTTTTGGGGGGGAGGCCACCAGCTGTTCGTTTTTGAAGATATTTATCACCTTTTAAACTCAAATTCTATAAAAACAAAGTTGTGTTATTGTTTTGGGGGTTACACTATTTAGAGAGAGCCTATGTACACCTTGAGAGCTCTTTCTTCCTCCTTTTTCTATTGCAAGCAACCTTTGAGTTGACCTAGCTCCCTTGTGTCATCTCCATACACCATACACAACCTTGTCTCACCATCTTAGAGCCTTGGTTGATATTTGAAAAGCATAATTCAAGCTTGAGAGTGGGTTGAGACTAAGCTTGGCTCATAATCAAAAACTAACTTTTGCAAGGTATAAACTTTTTATCTTCCTTCTTGCTTTCATATCTTTTATTTCCTACCTAGTTATTATTGTTTTGCGTTGTTTTGAGTCTATTCTAAGTGTTTAAGATTGGATTTGAAGAGCTACCAAAAGAGTAAAGAGAGTTTACACTCTTTCTATATCTTTACCTATAGCTCAAACCTTTCTTTTACACTCATTTTCTTTCCTCCTTGCACTGATTTTTAGAGTTAAAAAAAGGGCTAAAGATCATGTTTTGAGGTTTCAAAAGTGGAGGGATTAGCCACCCTCCTTGTTTTTACTTACTAGTCTTGTTCCCCCTCTTCGTTGTTTAGTTTTTTTAGGCTCTTTTCACTAACTTTGAGCCGTTATTTTTCATCTAATAAGGGCTGTTTGAGGGTTGTCCTAAGTTGTTTAATTGGTTCAAGCTTTGGTTAATTCATTTGTTGTCTCATAAGTTTGCATGTTATATATTGTTCTAAGCTTTTCTTCAATATATTTCCATGTCTAAAAATCTAATTTTAACAATCAATCCACCATCCATCTCTTTCATTCTTGAGAATGATTTCAACTAATTGAGGTTGCTCAAACATGTAAGAAAGACTCCTATTTAATGGCTTAATCTTTTCGGAGATTCATTGTCAATGGTATAGTCTCTCTCTCTCTCTCTCTCTCTCATGCTTTAGAAGAACCTCTTGTTTGACAGTACTTCTTGTTTAGAGGACTTTAACATCACCATGGACAAATGGACTAAGGAATGGCAAGACTTCATAAAATTGGTTTAAAACTTGGAACAACCCATATAAAGAAAATGGCTAGAATCGCTTGAACTTGGCTAGACGTTATGCCAAGTTCCTTGTGTCAAGAGTTGTCACATGCTAATTTATGGCATTTTGATGATTCTTGAAGCGTCGCAACCTCCCTCTTTGAGCTCACGTTATGACAAGAGGGAGGGGTGGTCTTATTAATTGCATTCATTGACTTTTGTTCAAACTTGTATCTGGAATCATCAAGCTATCAACTTGCTCGTTGATGGTTTTGGGACCAACTTTATCCTTCTTTTGACCCTTTCCATGACAGAGAAAGAAAGATGGGACAAACAGAGCTTGAGAACACTCTGTCTACACTGGTTCACCTCAGAACACAAAAACAGAGTTTTGCACCAAATTGAGGCATGACTGGCCATCTGTAGACCTGGCCAGCTATCACTGATGCACGGCCGACTCTAAGTGTGTGGCCAACAGTGCAGCTTTGCAGAAAACAGAGGCAGTGGCTGAAGGTGAAACAGAGTCGGCTTGGACAGATAGAGTAGCTCTCAGACGCTGTGTATGCAACCCTTATTCATCTTCACTTACGCCTTTGTCGAATGCTATTAATTGTTTCATTAGTGTTATAATTATCATAGTTGTAAATTAATCTTATTGGAATTAGTATTGTTGTAACCATTGCTTATTGATAATTGGTATAACTAGTTAAATTGTTGTAATAAAGTAGTTAATTAGCTTAGTTAAGTTAATTATTATTCATTTGCCCAATTTTGTAATAGTTAGTTAATTCGGATTTTCGGATATTGATTTGTACCCTCCTGTGTGAGGGATCAAATGTTGTAATAATGTGTATGTCTTCCAACCCAACGTCTTTCTCCCTTTTATTTATTTGCTTACAATGGTTAGTATAGAACATCATGTTTCACTAGCATTCTCATGCCTTGCATCCACTTGTATTGCATGCACCGAGGCTCGGTTCATCATTCAAACTTGCATTGTCATTTAAATAAATCTTTGAATACGTGCTTTAGACCACATGTTAGCAAATTGATTCATATGCCATGCTTATAGCCGAGCTTATAAAACACATAATGTGTGCGTTACATTAGTCATATTGCATTAATTAAGAACATGCATATTTTTCTAATTATTTTGTTTTGTTTTGGCTCGGAGTACTAGGTGAGCTTTTATCGTTTTAGCATCTTGCATGGGTGTGTTTTTGTTACCATGTAAAAGCATGAAGACCATGAGGCTAAGTGCTTAAATGATATAATTGTTTGAATGCCTATGGATGAAGGCTAATTGCTTGAGTTGGGGTAGTTTGATTAATGTTCCATTTTAGCCCACTTTTGCAAGTGGCAAAATTCACAAAATAATTTCAAAACAAAACATGAGATCAAATGTTCCAAATCTTGCAAAACTAGTCTATACCTTGTGTGCATATCACATTGTAATATAGCTAATAAATCGAAATAAGAGCATATAATATAAATAAAAAATACATCATGATTAGTAGAGGCTGATCTTTGATCGGGCGAGTGGGGTGCTCAATTCATGATTTTTCCTTCTCGTACCTAAGTTCCCAAGCTGAGACACTTTGGTGATGACGGACTAATGACCTTTGGCACGAGTCTCAGGATTTCTAAATTTTTCAAAAATATTTAGGTGGCGACTTTGAAATCTGGCAGAGTAGTCATTTTTGGCATTTGATTCAAACATCGATTTTCCAAAAAGAATTGTCGGATTTGGACTCTTCTTGTGTTTTCATTATTTCACATTGCACTTGTGACATCAGATTTAGAACCACAAGTAGAGTCCGAACTGTAAGGCTATTCGCCTTCCGAAAATAAGGGTGGAAAGCCGAGCTACACACATCATCAAATAAATCACAACCTCACTTAGAGACACACGGCAGGTACAGTACTCATATGAAGGATCTTTCATTCGTGTCACATTATGTGCTTCTCCAAGCAACAAAATATGTGTCTGTGTTAAACAGGTACAACATCACATGACAATGAAATGCACAGCAGCACAACATTCAAACTCTATGACATCACGTATAAACCGTTTTTGCAACACTTTTTTCAATTGATATTTTCGTATCACACGAATGAATTCAACTTAACACTACACTCAATTCCGCCCTACCATCGAAACACCCAAACAAATTTCACATACAAATGCATATCATCACAATAACCACCAGACGCAGTATATAAACATCAAACATATAGCATCACCCCTTAACACGCAAAACATAAACCAATATACATACCTCCCTGTGGCATCGTCATGTTACGTTGGCCCAATCTCAACACTTTCACGATATGGCTTCTTCCCAATAGTGTTCACACAACGATTAGTGTTAATGCACCTACAATCTTGTGTTACAAGTGCCGTTTAACAACCGACGGTCACTTCGCCCTTCACGCTTCCACAATTGTCTACACACAGTTCGAATCGATGTCACATTTGGGGATACCATCTTAGGGTTTTCCCAATCTAGGATTTTCTCGCCTTATTTTAGGGAATGTAATCATTACAATTAACATTTCATTTCAACTATTCTGATGTTTTCCGACGAATCTTTACATTTTTTCCAACTTCAACACTGACCACGAAGGAATACAGATGCCCCAAAATTGTAATTTCACACGGTACAAAGTACCAGTTTTGACCATTAATTTGTAATACACGCGTGCATTATAATACCCCTCACAAGTAAAATTGGATATAATGGGACCTTTCCATCCACAAGAAATCTTTCAGGACCAAACAGTCCATAAGTTTACAATCTAAGATTTATTGGTGCATCACCCAATAAAAAATAACAAAAAAATATTTATTACAAGAAAAATGTTTGAAACCCTTAAAAAGTTTTCACAATTCTACTCATACTTATGTGACATTTTATGTATCAACTTTTTATTTATTACATACTTAATGATAGAATGCCTAACTCCCTTACCACATCATTATGAATGAATTTATGAATATAATTGTTTGAATAGTAATCTTATTATAATAAAAAATGCTACATATCTAAAAGTTTTATCAAAATTTCTACCAAATGTTTCACATGAGTGTGGAATCAATATGAGATCTACGTGGTGTGAATCTCACACTCATATAAGATATTTAATTAAATTTTTAGTGTTTCTAATATTAATCTATTATAATTGATTGGGAGTTCACATGAGAGCCCCAGTGGACTCTCCCTACATTACTCGTATTATAATTCGCCAACATTAGTTGGTACCCATCAATTTCAAGTATATTGAAATTTATTCATTGCTACCAAAAACAAGCACCTAGAAGTCAATACCATGGGCCAACTAGCCCCATGATTTAAAAAAAAAAAAGAAGATAAATTACATTGACGTTAAAATTTGAAGAAATTATAATAAATTTTATAATTTTGATATAATTACACTAATGCCCGTTTTAGTAAGTCTAATTGAGTGAAAGTAATGTAAATAGTATAAAGACACAAAGATTTATAATGTACAATATAGAATTCAAAGTAAAAGAGATAATATCATTTTTAGATCTAAATAACTAACGAAAATCTACAAAAAATATGATTAAGTGTCGTGTGAATTAAAATATGCAAAGAGATAACATTAATTTTTTATCTAAATAAACGAAAAATATGATTAAGTGTTGTGTGAATTAAAGTATGAAAAATCTCAACATAATTATGTTAAACTTAAAAAACTTATCTTCACTAAATCACAATGTAATTTACCCTCTTTAAAAAACAAAATTTATTAGAAAGTGTTCTTTCAAGCATTTGTATCTCAATTAGTTTATAAGATATTCTTGTATTCTAATAAATTCTATTATCTTGGACATTTGATCCATTAAATCTTAATTCTCATATTTAAAGTATTTTATGGATAACTTTATCCTTAAAAATATTTTTTGAACCCTTAACAATTTGGTGATGTAAACATTCACATTAAATAAATTTGATTTAACAGTGTAAATATTCATATTGATAATGTGAATATTCACAAATATTCATATCATGGAACATACTGTCAATGTGAATATTAATGCGTGATTCACCTTATTATTATTAGGGATATTTTGATAACTATGTCACCCATAGAAACATAAGAAAATAATTTAGACTAAGTAAATATAAGTAGATGAAGAGGAATATATTAATAAATTCTCATTTTGAAAAGTATGTGTATTTATTTTTGAAATTGACTGTTTTAGTAATTTTTTTAAAGTAAACTTTTAAAAAAAATTAAAAAGATTACACTTAGATTATAATCAAATAGACGGAAAAAAAAAATTTAAAAATTTAAAAAATATATGAAAAAAGTTCACTAAAAATAAAAATAAAAATTATTATTCAACATAATTTGAAGAAATACACTTTTAAAAAGGACACACATTATAACTATTATGTCATTTTGTGATACTAATTATGCTATTTTATGGTGTTAAGTTATCGAAGCATGATCCCATAAGTTTCATGTTAAAGCGAAAATTATGAATCATTATGATTATATTATTATGTTATAAACGGTATATTACAAATCTTATTATAAATTATTTGTGGTGAAAAATACTACAAACTACATAAATGATATGTTATGATATTTATTAGAAAATATTATAATTATATTACGTATGCTATGATAAAATGAATATGATATGATCTGTATCAGAATGTGACATGTCGCTAAAAATTTTTAAGTACATGTTCCTCCAATTGTTTTTGTCCACATATTTTCATGGTCAAGAATGTAGATCATTTAATTCTTCAATCAATGCATTTAAAGTGTGCATGGACTATAAGTACATTGTTGGTCAATTATTCACATAGCTTCCCTCTAGTGATGAAAGATATTGTAGAATACCAAAAAAACTAGAACATCCCACCGGTAGAAGTATTTAGGGTATTTTAAGCATTTTGTTTAGTCTCGTCCAGAGGTGTAAAAAAAATTAATAGAACCAAATCGATTGATTGAAATCGATCAAAATATTAATTCTTAGTTTGTTTTTTATAATATATGATCTGTTTTAATTTTAAAATTTTTTATATTGATAGAAACTAAATGGACCAGATATTATATCAAAATATTTTATATTTTAATTCTTTAAGCATTATATGATAAATGACTAATATTACATACTTTTGTGATAAAATTGGAGAGAAAAACATTTATAGAGCAATTTTCATATATTCATTTATTTTTTATTTTATGTGAAATTCTAGAAGCTTTTATATAACCCTTTAAAAATTTAAAGCAAATCCCTCTTCTACATCAAAACGATTACCGATAAAATTGAATTATAGTATACTATCTGTATTAGTTTTCAACCATCAAAACTAAAAGAATTGATTCAGTGATAAACTTACTCTCAACACTAACCAAACCAAATTAAACCAAACCGTTTACATCCCTCTTATAACATAGCAGCAAGGACAGAATCAGAATTTTATCACTACAAAGGCCAAAAGACAATTAATATTTTTTCACCATATAGACAAACACATACGATATATAAATTATATATACATAAAAAAAACAAAATATTATAAAAACAAACTCTAATAGGATGAAAAAATAAATTGGTAGAAAATAAGATATATATCTTTTATATTGAAAAATCATTTTATTTATGGAATAAGATATATATATACATACACACTTATAAGTATTATGATAAATATAATTTTTCAGAGAAATAGAGGGTCATGCCCCATATTCTTCTCATAGTTTCATCCCCACATAGCAGAGGAGCTCCAAAAGAATTGATAACATGATAGACATTTTGTCTCGTTTTCTTTTGATTAGTTATATTTGGAAAGCTTAGACAAACTGTTTTCATGATTGGAGAGTGTCGGTAGAGTAAATATTAGACAAAATAATTAGATAAAATCATTGTTTTAAATTCTATTAACATGATTTTATTAGACCAAATAATACCAAATTTCCCAGTTGGGATTACCTTTTGATTATCATCTATTCTTCCATAAGGAATGATACTATTTTGGTGTTCCCTTTGACATGAACTCTTGTCAATTTTTATAATTTCAAAAAAAATAAAAAATAAAAATTGATTTGTTTATAAAATTATGAGACAATATTATTTTCAATCTATATAATCATATTAATTTTTTGGGGAGCTGGTATGATGCACACTTCTACTCTATGTAATATCTTATTATTACATGAAGCATTCTCTATGAAACAATATCTTATTATTTTAGATAAATTATATTAATTTCTCTTAAGTAATTAAGCAATTATAATTAGTTTTACAATTTTGATAAAATCGTATTGAACTCCCATGCAGTAGCGATAATTTCAATAGTGTTAATAGAGGTGATAAAATTATTATATTATCCTTCAATATTTTGTATCTAAATATGAATAAATGTCCAATGACACAATTACCCTCCCTATAACCTAATGAGTTTATCTAATTATTCTCATTCTCTCAACGGTGTGTATTATTGAAGCATGAAAATATGCTATTTCGATGCACGAGATATTTGGACATCTATCTATCTATCTATCTATCTATCTATCTATAATATATAAGAAAAAGAAGGTTTTTAACCCATAAGTCTTGTGAGAGTTCTTATATTTCAATCTTAATTTTTTAATTTAAAAAAAAATAACCTCAGCATTTATTGATTTCTCCAAACCCACAAGTTTTTTAAATTTCTTTCATAATTACTGTAGCACACTTTTCAACTTTTTCTATACACTATGATTAGTGAGGTGATTGTTAAATTATTTTTGTAAAAAATCTAAAAAAAATAATTTATATATTAAAAAAATATATAAAACAAATATAAATATCTATATCTATATCTATACTATATATAGCAAATGTAATAGGTGTGTTCTCAGACCTCTAAATCTCTATTCCTAATTTTTTTTTAAAATCTAAAATTTTGAAAAATTATGTGGTACTTAAGTTTCAATCTCATCACTTCCATTTAAAATAAAAACTATTTTCTTTAATAATTTAATAACAATAATATGCTCTCTTTTTTTAGATAGATGAAGCCAACAATAATATGCTTTTAGAACAATAGTTATCCAAATAAAACTTATCAACAGGAAAAAAAAAAAAAAAACCACAAAGTTATCAGAAAATTAAAAAATAACTGAATCGGAAATTTATATAAAGATAATCTATATCTATCAACAAAATTCAAAATAAAGATAATTTAAATTTAAATTCGAATATTTAATATAGATAATCTACATTTAGCTATCCAATTTCACATCTCTCTCCTCCTATATATACTATATTTCAATTGATTATAAACACATACAAAACTATTAATGAAATCAAACAGGGCCATTTGTATTCAAATGTAAAGGTTTGGCTACCAACATGAATACTAAATTATTAATTGTTCATTATTTTTTGAGTTCAAACCCAATGGTCTTGGTGTTCCGTGTTGCTCTTTTTCTTTCCTCCTCTCTCTTTCTTTATATATATATAATTTTTATACTGTTATAGATATGGCTAAAAAAAGTAATTTGTATATTAAAAAAATATATAAAACAAATATAAATATCTATATCTATCTATCTATACTATATATATAAGCAAATGTAGTACGTGTGTTCTTAGACCTCCAAATCTCTATTCCTAATTTTTT